CTATTCTATTCTATTCTATTCTATTCTATTCTATTCTATTCTATTCTTATTGTACCCTATGACTATTATTAAGTGTTGCACCTGATGATTCTTGACTCTTGACGGATGTATCTTTTCTTTTATGTACACTGAGAGCATTTGCACCAAAGACGAATTTCTTGTGTGTCCAACCACATTTGGCTAATAAAGAATTCTATTCTATTCTATTCTATTCTTTATCTATTTTCTTTTCTTTTCTGTTCTATTCCTTATTCTATTCTATTTCTATTCTCTATTCAATTCTATTCTATTCCATTCCATTCCATTCTTTAAACTGTTTCCTAGTATGATTTGATTGCTTATTGTACCCTATGACTATCATTAAGTGTTGTACCTGATGATTCTTGACAAATGTATCTTTTCTTTTATGTACACTGAGAGCATTTGCACCAAAGACAAATTCCTGGTGTGTCTAATCACACTTGGCCAATAAAGAATTCATTCATGCATTCATGCATACAAATGCTTATTTATTTGTAGCATTTCTGATGCCTTCTATGTAAGTCATGTGTTAACTTGATGACACTGTCATGTGGTATCATTTGACACACACTCCTTGTTGTGTCCCTCCCTGTAAACCCTTATCGTTACAGAGTGTTTTGGCTAGTTTTCAGAATCAGCTTAACTCTGAACTTTGGTTTAACTCTAACCTTGGCTTCGTCTCTAAACCTGGCTTGGCTCTAAACCGGGTTTAGCTCCAAATCTAGCTTAGCTCTAAACTTGGCTTAATTCTGAACTTGGCTTAGCTCTAAACCTGGCTTAATTCTGAACCTGGCTTAGCTCTAAACCTGGCTTAATTCTAAACCTGGTTTAACTCTAAACATGGCTTAATTCTGAACATGGCTTAGCTCTAAACTTGGGTACGCTCAGGTCTTAGTTTAACGAAACATGCCATGTGCAACTAAACAGACCATCTTCAGGAAATAAACAGGCTCCCACCAAAACTGATGCCCACAATACACCAGCAAAGCCCCCTCCCTCTTCACGCTGACTCTAATGCGCCGCCCAGGGCCTTTTCCACACCCTGAGCATCCAGACCAGCCTTCCCCAATCAGGCCTGGACACCGATCCCCCATCTGAACCCAGGCCAAGCTCACCGTGCCATCCGAAGCCAGGCGGAGGCAGGACCCAAAGTCCGCCAGGCGGATGTGCCCGCTGGTGTCAATCAGAATATTGTCCGGCTTGATGTCTCTGTGGAGGGAAGGAGAGTCCGCCTTGGTGAGTGGTGGGACCCTCACAAAAGTAGAAAGGTTGGGGAACTCTGGGGCCCTTGGGGAAGGACCAGGTGGCCACCCCGTCAAACATGGGGAGGGCTGAGGTTTACAGCCGTGGTGGCGCGGTGCTTAGAATGCAGCATTGCAGGCTGACTCTGTCCACAGCCAGGAGTTCGAAGTGGTATATAAGTCTAAGGGCTATTGCTATTGCTATTGCTATTGCTATTTATTTTCCTTCCTTCCTTCCTTCCTTCCTTCCTTCCTTCCTTCCTTCCTTCCTTTCCTTTCCTTTCCTTTCCTTTCCTTTCCTTTTTCTTCCCTCCCTTCCTTCCCAGTTGTCAGAATGCTGTATTGCAGACTAACTCTGCCAACTGTCAGTAGTTCAATCCTGACCAGCTCAAGGTTGACTCAGCCTTCCGTCCTTCCGAGGTGGGTAAAATGAGGACCCAGATTGTTGGGGGGGCAAGAAGCTGACTCTGTAAACTGCTCAGAGTGGGCTTAGAGAGGGCTGTAGAAACACTGCAAAGCGGGATATAAGTCTAAGTGCTGTTACTCTTACGGACCAAGCAGGGGAAAAGTGGGAAACCGCAAGCCATCTCAGTTTCTTTCCAACCTAAAATCAGGGGGGTCCCAGCTAGGGCGATTTGCAAATTGGGGGCGTCTGCAAACAGGATGGGGGGGAAAAACCTACAACACTGGTTACAACATCACTGTGTGATTTACCTGTGGACATACTGGAGCTGGTGGAGGGAATGGATGGCCAGGACCATCTCGGCTAGGTAGAAACAAGCCATGTCTTCCGGCAGCCGGTCCTCAAACTTGCTGAGCAGGGTGAGTAGGTCTCCTCCAGCATAATAATCCATCACCAGGTACTGTAAAAAAAAACCCCGCCAACTTCTAGCATCCTTCCCCAACCTGCGTTCTGCAGGTGAGGACTTCCACTCCCAGAACTCCCCAGGTGTTTGCTGAGAATTCTGGGAGCTGAAGTCCACACCTTCCCTGAGGTTGGGGAAAGGGAGGTGAAGACGGAAGCCTGGGTGGCCCATTCACTGAATTAATGGATCCCGTTTCCCCCCGAGTTACAGATAATGGCGGCTTCCGAGAACTGGGAATGGAAGTCTGCCCGTCAGCACAGCTGGACGACGAATTCTGGGAGCGGAAGTCTGCCCAGGTGTCCAGACTGAGAAAAAACTGGTGAGGAAAATGAGCCATTGCCAATCTCTGGTTTTAACCTGGTTACCTCAGGCTGCATTTAGAACCCCAAAGCTAGTGGCCTGCTCAGGTTTCTAGTCCACTGTGAGGAAAGAGGCTAAAAATCAATTTAGCTGAGTCAGAGGGCGCTCAATCGTTGCTAGATTTACCAAGGCTGTGTTCTGGCAAAGACACACCAAATTTTGGGGAGCAGGGCATCAAGAAAAGCCAGCATCTCCTCTTTTTTTTTTAGCTGAATGCTAGAATTGTGAAGTCATGTTCAATGGGTGACAGGTGAATTTTCTGAAATTTTGCAAAGAAACAACAATTTTTCCATCCCTTTTAGCAACACCTGAACCCAGCACCACAGATGCTCCTGATTGGAAGGGCTGAGCTTGAGAGAGGACTGTATCACTGAAGAGAAAACATTCTCCCTCATATTCCATCACAGGTGCACACACGCATATCCTCGTTCACACGTAACCTCATAGCTAAATCTCCATGCTTGCAAGATGCAAGCAACTAGCTGAATGCATCTGTTTCCCCCCCCCTCCCCTAATTTTTTATTTTATTCCAAAAAGATTAAAATGCAAAACCCAAAAGGGGAGAAAAAAAACTTTTGACAAAGGCAAAACAAAACTGGACAAGAACATTAAAACATGGGAATTAAAAGGGACAAAAACCAAAAACCCTTATTATCTCTCCTAGTTGAACCTTAACAAATCTATTGCAACAATCACAGCTCCCTTCCTCCTCCTGAAATTTTACAAGCTTCTACCTCTATTGCAGGGGGTTGTCAACCTTTTGGACCTCAGGGACCACCAAACTCATCATTTTAAATCCCGCGGACCAGAGACCCTGGGAAAAGCCCCCAAAAGTCTGCAGGAAAATTCCCCACCCCGGTTTCCTACCGATCGATCGTTCTTTATTTGGGATCGCAGGATACCATCTCCAGCTCCGTTCTCAGGGGGAGAGAGGAGAGACTTTTGGCTTCATGCAAGGAAAGCAGCAGAAGCAGCAGGAATCTTTCTTTCTCTCCCTAAACTCTGCCAGAAATGAGTCTTTGTCGGCGCAGCCTCTTGGAGCCGGAGGCCTTGGAGGGTCCCAAAGACTCATTTCTGGCGGATTTTGGGGGAGAGAAAGAAAGACTTTGGCTGCTTTCCTTGCGTGCAGCCAAAGGCAGAAGAAGAAAGAAGCGGAAAGAAGCAGCCAGAAGCAGCCAGGCCAGGCGCGTGGGGTGAGTGGGGCAAGTTCCCCCATCCACCCTTTCCCCCCTCCCCTCACTACCTCGTGTTGTTTGCAATGCAAGCGACGCAAGCCTTGTGTTCCCGCAGGCCATGTGGGCGGCGTAGCCTTGTGTTCCTATGCAGCCTGGATTAATTGCTTGGGGGGTGACATTTCTCTGCGGTCCACCAAAATTTTCCCACAGACCACCAATGGTTCCACCCCCCCACAATTGGCGACCACTGGTCTGTTGGCACCCGATACTCCTGATTCACACAACACACAAAACCTGTGACTTGGAACTCCGACTGGATTTAGCATGTCATGTGAACGGAGGGAATCAGGTTTGCAAAGCAAGCAACGGACTCAGAGGCTGAAATGGGGCCAGGAACCATTGCACAAAGCAGCCCATTCTCTGTTCGCTTCGTCCCCATGCTCCGCCCCAGAGATGGAAACCGCCAATGCCGGTTTCCCAACAGACCGACATCCGAGAGGAAACCCAGTTTGAAATTTCCTGCATCTCGACTCACCAGGTAGTGCTCGTCCTGGAAGGCGTAATGCAACGTGGTGATCCACTGCCTGTCGCCGTGCACGAGGACATCCCTTTCCTCTCGGAAACAAGCCGTCTGGAAAGGAGACAGGTGCAGAAGGGGGGCCCTGGGTTCAAATCTCAGCTTAGTACACCTGACACCTCTGCTATCCAGGTGCAGAAAAAGCGCACAGATGGTTCCTCGCCTTACAACCACCACTGGGACCGGAATTTGGGTTGTAAGCCAAGTGTGGCCATAAGGCGAGGACCATTTGCTGCTAAGTGGCATGGTCGTTAAGCAGGACATCATGTGGCTCGCAACCTCCCCCATTGTCTTTGCTTTGTCAGAAACTGGTTAGGAAGGTCACAAGCACCATAAAGTATTAATAGGAAAGCAATTCATGAATAACCTTAATGAAGAGAATCACTTTAATAAATCCTAATTTTAAAAATAATTCTGAGGTCCTTGGTTAGGATTTGAACGATTCAGTTTTCACCTGACTTAGATTGTGAATCTAACTGTTCGTTACCCACAATAATCATAATTTATTCAATGTATATGCCACTGACTCTTCAACAACACTGCATGGCTCACAACCAAGAAAGAAATGACAATCATTTAATTTGAATTAACAGAAGAGCAGGGTCTGTGTGCTTGTGTTTGTGTGCAAGGCGGGGTTGAGGTGCCCCCTTTCCCTCCCATCTTTCTACAACCAACCATCCCATTTGATGGATAAGAAAGTTTCTGGATTTAATGAAACGAAGGAATCAATGAAAATCAGAGCTGAATCAATGAAAGATGAGTGGCTAGAGATCCCACAAATGGCCCAATTCCGTATCTGTCATGTTCTTAACAAGGGCACAAAAACGGTTTAATGCCGCTTTTCTCCAGCTGCTTTCCCGGGCTAGCATAGGGATCTCCTGGTGGTCTCCCATCCGAGGTTCTACCCCCTAACTTGTGGAGATCACTGGCTTGACTTTAGGGCAGATGGGAACCCAAGGGAATCGTCACCTCGGTTCTCTTCAGCATTTCCCACTTGTGCAGGATCTTCATGGCATAGATTTTCTCCGTCTGCTTCATCCGCACGACGGCCACCTGGGAGGAGAGAGAGGAGGGGGGGAGCCCTTAGAATAAGAACACGGAATCATAGACTAACTGAGCTGGAAGGGACCTTGTGGGGTCATGTAGTCCAACCCCTTCCTCAAACAGGAGACCCTGTCCCACTCTGGACAAATGGTTGTCTTGAAGACTTCCAGGGATGGAGCACCCACAGCTTCCGAAGGCAACTTCTGTTCCCCTGGTTAATTGTTCTCCCTGTCAGAAAATTCCTCCTTATTTCCAGGTTGAATCTCTCCTTGTTCAGTTTCCATCTATTATTCCTTGTCTGGCCTTCAGGTGCCTTGGAGAATAGCTTGACCCCTTCCTCCTCCTCTCTGTGGCAGCCCCTCAAATACTGGAAGGCTGCTCTCCTGTCTCCCCTGGTCCTTCTCTTCATTAACAGGTAACAGATATTCAGAATTGGAAGGGATCTTATAGGTCATCTAGTCCAACCTCAAGCGGGTGACCCTACACAATTTCTGTCCAGCCTCTTCTTGAAAGCCTCCAGGGATGAAGCTCCCACAACTTCCGAAGGCAACTTCTGTTCCATGGGTGGATTGTTCTCCCTGTCAGAAAATTCCTCCTTATTTCTAGGTTGAATCTCTCCTTGATCAGTTTCCATCCATTCTTCCTTGTCTGGCCTTCGGGTGCTTTGGAGATTATCTTGACCCCTTCCTCCTCTCTGGGGCAGCCCCTCAAATACTGGAAGGCTGCTCTCCTGTCTCCCCTGGTCCTTCTCTTCCCTAGACTAGCCAGGCCCAGTTCCTGCAACCGTTCATCGTATGTTTTAGCCTCCAGTCCCCTCATCCTCCTGGTTGCTCTTCTCTGCACTCTTTCCAGAGTCTCAACCTCTTTTTGAATAGTGTGGTGACCAAAACTGGATGCAGGATTCCAAGTGTGGCCTTACTAAGGCTTTATAGAGTGGTATTAGTTACTTCCCTTGATCTCGATTGTATCCCTCTGTTAATGCAACTTAGGATTGCCTTGGCTTGTTTGGCTGCACACGGCTGGCCTCCTATTTAGCCAGACATAGCCGGTTTCTGCAACCGTTCTTCATATGTTTTGGTCTCCAGGCCAGTTGCTTGTCCTAATTAAACTTTTTCCAAAGTCTCAGCATCTTTTCTCTATTGGGGTAACCGGAATTGGACACAGAATTCCATGTGTGGTTTGATCAGTGCAGTATAAAACGGTCCTAGCACTTCATGTGACCTTAATACAATTAACAATTAACCAGTGAGTAATTAGCCGGTGGAACAGGGGCTTCATCACTGGTGGTTTTTGAAGAAGATACTGGACAGCTACTTGCCTGGAATGGCAAAGAGTCTCCTGCTTGAGCAGAGGGTTGGACTAGAAGACCTCCAAGGTCCCTTCTGATTCTGTTATTCTGATAATATCCCTCTGTTGATGCAACCTAGGAGTTTTGCTTCAGTGGACCCAGATTCTAGCCCCCCTGCAAATACCCCAAACACCAGCAGTGGGAAGCTCTTGGTCAGTGTTTCCGCTTAGGACATTGTGTGAACCCAGCCAGATCAAATGCACAGTCCAAGGCCAGAATTGAAAAATGTGTTTATGCAGTACAGGGAGTTCTCAACATATAACATCAATTTTTTGCCCGTATTTTCTGTTGCTAAGCAAGATAGTTAACGGAATCAGGCACAAGGAGAATGTATCTGCTGCAAACTCCGCACTGGCAACAGGAAAGGAATCTGGCCAGTAAACACTCAGCTCCATGAAGTTGCCTCGACTCTAACCCAATACAATGGATTATGGGATCATTAAAAGACAAAAAAAAATATGTTGCAAAGCAAGATGGTTAAGTGAATCAGGCCTGAAGTTAATTTTTATTTTTGCCCTGGTTGATAAGCAAATCACTGCCAATCATTAAGTGAAACATCCAGTCGTTAAGTGAATCCAGCTTCTGCTCATCCCTTTGCTTGTTGGAAGCTGGCTGGGAAGGCCATAAATGGCGATAATTCAAATGTCCTAAATAATTGGCCAGTTATGCCCAAATTTTGATCATGTGACCACAGGGGGGGGGGGATGCTGTGGCAGTCATAAGTGCGAGGATCATTATTAAGTCACTTTTTTGTCAGTTCTGTAGCAACTTCGAATGGTCATTAATGGATAGTTGTAAGTTAAGGACTTCCCGTAATACAGGTCAGGCTGTTGTGGGAATGCAAGGCTCTTCTGGTGAAGCTCAGGGTACCCCCAAAGTGCCTCCTGAGCCAGCCTGTGGCTTTAAGCCCCCCCCCTCCCCCTATTTCTGGGGACTCACCTCCCCAAAGGCTCCTCTGCCGATCACCTTCAGGATCTCGAAGTCGTCACGACGCAAACTCAGCTGTTTTGCCCGGGAAACCAATGGGGAGGCTTGAGAGAGAGAGAGAGAAAAAGACATTAAAAGAAAAAAGAAAAGAAACTTGTTTTATGGAGTCATTCGCCACAACGGCACCAGCGGAAAACCTGCTGAACAGGATGCATAAAAAACCAGGCCGTTCTGCGTGTCAAGCTGGATCCGTTTTAAAACGTGGTTCATTTTCATTTTAATTGTTTTCTTCTGTAGCCCGTTTGGTGCTTGGATGATTTGGGGGCAGCCCGAAGAGAGTTAATGCTGCACTGGCATATGGAAACTGCCAGGCCCGGCTAAAATACGGGGGGTTTTCTCCTAATTTTTACATGGTTTTTTTTTTAAAGCTTTGCCTGTTCCGCCCCCCCACCCCCCGTGATTAAAAATATTCATTCATAAAAATTTTAGAACACAGCGTTTTTGTCAGAGCATACTGTTCACAAGAAACAAAACCATAGCTAATACTATAATAAATATTAACCCATTAACTAATAATAATATGAATAACTAGCTCTGTACCCATGCTTTGCTACGAAACTCTGTGATTGGGCTTAGTTTTTGGGGAGGAAAATAAGGGGGGGGAAATTCTGCCTCTGCCTACCAGCATCCATCGGTATTCATCTGGCTAGCGTCCTGTCACTGTATGAGAGAGTTAAGGGCTGTTTGGAAACTGAAAGAGTATTTGCTGTGTGAGCAAGAAGGAGACAGCAAGGAGCCTGGGTGTGGCTTAGCTCAACTGTTCTGTACTAAAGCTGCTTGGTGCTGTGAAACTGAAACTCCTCTGCTTGTGTTTTGCATTTGGAAGAGGTTTCTTTTCAGGTGGGAAGAGGGAGTAGAACTCCTGAGCATCAGAGCGTGTTAATAATAATAATATACAAAATATTAATGCTCTGATGGTCATTTTGAAAAATCCTTTCTTTGTGAACACCTAGAAGCCAAGAGGAACCTACGTGCCAAATTTCAAATTTGTAGGCTTTACGGTTCTGGAGATTTTGTGATGATGCCTGAGTGGTATTTCGCTTTTATATAGATAGATATAATAATAACACATACATTCATAGCTCTAATGATATTATGATAGCTCCCATATAGTATAAATATCATCAAAAATTTCAAATAGATTTCTTTTTATGCTTAACTCATTCATATTTTAGTACCTATAGCAGCTATAGTTATAAACCATCTGTTTTAAATATATACATTCATCATTTTTCTTCCTCTAACTTCTGTCTCTTGTCTTTAACCACTCGTGGAATCTATTCCATATCAGGTAGTATTCTTGAGTCTTCTTTCTCCTTTATTTTTAAGGTTAATCTGTCCATCTCAGCACATTCTAGAATGTTCCTAATTACTTCCTCATCTGGCAGGGTATTCTCATTTATCCAGTATTTTGCAGTTAATCCTTGCTGCTGTCAATATACGTAAAACTAAATATGCAGTTCCTTTATCATAACCCTCTGGGATTATTATGCCCAGCAAATATACTTCTGGTTTCCGATCTATAGTTATTTTTTTTCCAGCCAGCTACTTTTCTCCCAATATTTTTTTTTCTTTTGGTGCAAGTCCACCACATATGAGAGTAAGTCCCTAGGTTATGGTTGTATTTCCAACATTTTGCAGACAAAATGTCTGCCAAAGCTTTGCCTGTTTGACGTCATAAAGATAACCTGGTTATTGGATGTTCTGGCTTCACACAAATGCAAGACCCAGCTCTTCAGACGAACCGAGCAATATGGAACGGCTTTGCTTGTCGTTTTCTTCTGGTTTGTTTTCGCTTTTGTGCAATACCCAGCCTAGCTGAATATCCAGGGGATGATTGCCTGGTGGCCTTCCCTCCTAACTCGCTTTCAATTCTTAGCTAAATCTAAAGCCGCAAAACAAAAGGTTTTCCTCAACCTTGGCAGTTTTAAAATGTCCATGCTGGCCGGGGAATTCTGGGACTCGAAGTCCGCCCATCTTGAAGCACCCTGGCCAGGGAATTCTGGGAATTGTAGTCCATCCTTCTTAAGGCATGCTGGCTGGGGAATTGTGGGAGTCCAATACTGCACACTTTAAATTAGCATGCTGGCTGGCAATTCTGGCAGTTGATGTCCGCAGCAGCGGTGGGATCCTTACCTGATCCACTACCGGTTTGGTGATCGCGCGAGTGTGCGTGCGCACACCTAACACACACGCACCTAATGCACGCAGATTGTTGGAGGCTTTTTTTAACGATTGGTTCAGCCCAACCGATAGGAATTTTTGCTACTGGTTCGACTGAACCGGGCCAAACCGGTAGCATGGTGCGCAGATCTCTTGAGCATGCTGGCTGGGGAATTCTGGGAACTGAAGTCCGCTCATCTCCAAGCGGGTGAGATTGAATAAACCCCGCTCTAACCACTAGGCCCCCGGGGGTTTTCCCAAAAGCTGGAGTCCTGCCTGCTGCTCTGCTGCTCTCCTTTCTCCCCTGGGAGATTGCTGGAAGCCCAGGAGCCGCGGTGGGAATTGTGGCGAACCAACCCATCCTCCGCCCTGGGCAGCCTTGCGTGTCCCGTCCCGCCTGCCTTGGTGAACCTGCTCCCTCATCCACCTCCCTGCTTCCATCAGAGCATGAAAGCCAACTGTTCTTTGGAGAACCACAGCTTTGCTGGTTGCTATGGGGAAAAAAACAACAACCCAAGGTTCTAGTCCTTAAGAGATTCCCCCAATGGGCCAAACCGCCTTCCCAGAGGAAAGGTGAGGAGACCTTAATCATGGGAGCCTTTCAAGAAGAGTTTGGACTGCCCTCTGTCAGAAATGGTGCACTGCTTGGGCAGGGGGTTGGACTGGATGACCTACAAGGTCCCTTCCAACTCTGTTAATCTACGTACCTCTGAGGCCTTTGCAAGTTTCCTTGTTCAGAAAACCAACTTGGCCCCTTGGTTTGCGCCTTTCCCAGGTGAACAAAATGCCCCCCTGCCCATTGGTTGCCTGCGGGTACAGCCATTCCTGCCAATAGAGTCAGCCAGGCCTCGATAACACAAGGCAAAGGATTGGGTTTCAGCCTTAAGGTGTGTGGACTTCAACTCCCAGAATCCCCCAGGCAGCTGTGCTTCAAGATGGGTGGACTGGGGGATTCTGGGAGTTGAAGTCCACGCACCTGTGGGAGATTTTCCCCATTTGCAGGTTCAGCTCCTGAGAAGAAACGAATCTTCGGCTTTTTAACCCGCCACGCAGGGAAGGATCCCGGATCCCTGGTTTTCAATCCAGGTAGTCCTTGGACTTACGACTACAATTTAATCATTTATTTATTTAACATCCACACTTCCTCCCCCCCCGCCCCCCCAGGTCTCACCAAAGGCAACACCCGGCGGCTTAGAACCATTCCAAATCAACTGGGGATTTTCCATCGCTTCGACGAGGCGGGTGGTTGTTCAATGAGGCACGCCCAATTTTACGACCTTTTCGTCGCGGAATCACTTTAGTGACAAACTGAATCACGCGGCTTCCCACCTTGGTTTAAACTGGGTTGCCAAGTGTCCGAATTTTGATTACTGGGATCACGAGGACGCAGCAACAGTCGTAAGTCTGAGGACCAGTTGTAAATTACACACATAGAAACCAGGCCCAATAGCATTAACTGGGAGAGGGATCTTGGAGTCTTAGGGGACAACCAGCTAAATAGGAGCCAGCAATGTGAGAGGCAGCCAAAAAAGCCAATGTGATCCTAAGTTGCATTAACGGAGGGATACAATCGAGATGAAGGGAGGTACTAATACCACTCTGTAAAGCCTGAGTAAGGCCACACCTAGAGAACTGCATCCAGTTTGGGTCACCACACTATAAAAAAGACATTGAGACTCTAGAAAAAGTGCAGAGAAGAGCAACCAGGAGGATGAGGGGACCGGAGGCTCAAACATATGATGAACAATTGCAGGAACTGGGCCTGGCTGGTCTAGTGAAGAGAAGGACCAGGGGAGACAGGAGAGCAGCCTTCCAATATTTGAGGGGCTGCCCCAGAGAGGAGGAAGGGGGTCAAGTTATTTTCCAAGGCACCCGAAGGCCAGAGAAGGAAGAATGGATGGAAAGTGATCAAGGAGAGATTCAACCTGGAAATAAGGAGGAATTTCCTGACAGGGAGAACAATCAACCAACGGAACAGAAGTTGCCTTCGGAAGTTGTGGGCACTTCGTCCCTGGAGGCTTTCAAGAAGAGACTGGGCCGCCATCTGTCAGAAATTGTGTAGGGTCTCCTGCTTGGGCAGGGGTTAGGGTTAGACTAGATGACCTCCCAGATCCCTTCCAACTCTGTTAATCTGTGAAGCCTTTTCCAATGCCATTGTAACTTTGAACAGTCCCATAATGATAACGAACAATTGCTGGTTCCCTCTTTAAGAGTGGGGTGTATACAGTGCCAGGGTTCAAGCCAGCTTTGTTTTACAGCTTTGCATTTTGGACAAACCCTTGATTAGTTTGTTCAGGGAGTCCTCAACTTACAACACACAACATTTGTGGTGCTAAGTGAGACAGCCGTTAAGTAAGGTTTTTGGTCCCATTTTGCCACGCTTTCTTGCCACGCTTGTTAAGTTGAATCATTACAGTTAAGTTAGTAACCTGGTTGTTAAATTGAATTTGGCTTCCCCATTGACTGGTCAGAAGGTCGCAAAAAGGGGAATCATGTGGCCTTGAGACCCTGCAACCGTCGTCAGTACATGCCAGTTGCCAAGCATCTGAATATTGATCGTGGGACCACAGTTGTTAAGTGTGACAAGGGGTCACAAGTTACTTTTTCAGTGGACTTGTAACTTCAAACAGTCACTAAACAAACTATTGTAAGTCAAGGACTACCTGTAGTTTTGCACACTGTGTAAAGGTAATGTATTATTTATGTAATCTATCTATCTATAAAAGTGAAATGCCTCTCACGCATCATCACAAAATCTCCAGAATCGTAAAGCCTACAAACTTGAAATTTGGCACATATGTTCCTCTTGGCTTCTAGGGGCCCACTAAGAAAGGATTTCTCAAAATGACCATCAGAGCATTAGCATTTGATATATT